AAGATCTAATATTTCAACAGCTAATGGTTCGAAAACTGAGGTCGTTACTGTTCAATTCCGGTGACGTATATGGGTGTAACAAAACCTATTGTGTTTTACATAGTACCTGGTCTTTCACTTGAGGGCTACCTTGGTATTAATTTTTGGAGGTCTTTTGAACTTGCACCCCAAATTATTTCATGTATTGAACTAGATTCCGAACAGAAATATCGTCTTAAACTAGTTATTTCAGAATTCCCGGCATATGAAAAGTTAGGTCTCGTATAGATACAGGTGATGCTACCCCAGTGAAAAGCAAGCACTACCCACTGTCCCCAGCTAGGCAAGCAGAAATTTATGAGGAGCTCGATAGGCTTTTAGCTCTCGGAGTTATCGAGGAGACGAATTCACCATGGTGTAGTCCCATTGTAACTGTGCGCAAGCCAAATAAGATCAGGCTCTGCCTGGATTGTAGGAAGATAAACTCACTGACAAAGAAGGATTCGTACACCCTCCCGCATATAAACGGGCTGCTAAGCCGTTTAAAGGACACGCACTTCATAAGCGGGATAGATCTAAAAGACGCCTTTTTCCAAATTAAATTGTCAGAATCTTCAAAAGAAAAGACAGCGTTCGCTGTACCCGGTAGGCCTCTCTATCAATATCGGGTAATGCCATTTGGGGTATGTAATGGTCCTCAGACCATGAGCTGCCTGATGGACAAGACGATTCCATCTTGGCTGAGGAGCAACGTTTTCATTTATTTGGACGATCTCCTGGTCTGTAGCCAAAATTTCGAAGATCATTTTAAATTGCTTTCAGAAGTTGCCGAGTGCCTAAAATCTGCTGGTCTCACGATAAACGTTGGCAAAAGCAAATTCTGTCAAACTGAGATAAAGTATCTCGGCTATATAATAGGCGGAGGCAATTTAAAGGTCGATCCTGAAAAGGCAAGAGCCATCGAGGCGTTTCCTTTACCCAAAACACCGCGCCAAGTCAGACGGTTCATTGGAATGTCTAATTGGTACCGCGCTTTTATTAATAACTTTTCAAATTTAGCAGGTCCTCTTACGGATTGTTTGAAAAAATCAAACAAACCCTTTCGTCTTACTCAGGAGGCTGTCGATTCGTTCCATCAATTAAAATCAGCCTTATCAAGTGCGCCCGTCCTAGCCCAGCCAGATTTCGCAAAAGAGTTCGTGATACAATGCGACGCATCTCGTATAGGAGTTGGGGGGGTTCACTACCAACTCGACGATGAGGGTAGAGAGAGACCAATTGCGTTTGTGTCCCAAAAATTAAATCGGGCACAACGCAATTATACAGTCACGGAATTAGAATGTTTGGCGGCCGTGATTTGTGTAAAACGGTTCAGACAGTATGTTGAGGGACTTCCATTTAAAATACCGACCATTCAAGTCTCCAATGGCTAATGAGCCAAAAAGACCTACATGGTAGATTAGCCAGGTGGAGCTTAAAGCTTCAGAATTTTGATTTTGTGATGGAACACAGGAAAGGTTCTCTAAATGTAGTGCCTGACACTTTCTCTAGATTTGACGTAGCACAGTGGTATAGGAAAAAAAAAGAGGGAAATAATTCGGTAACTTCTAAACGGTTAATCCGATTTTAATGAAATTTGGTGTGCACAAAGAGGAGGTGTTGTCGAGTTTAGGTTTTGAATTTGGACCTTATAGGCCAACCAGGGGCCCGGCGGGGGGTCATCAAATTAGGACACCTCGGCTATGTTAAATTTTTAAAACGATCCTATTTCTTCATTTGAGTTCCGATTTAAAAAAAATTTCGTATATAGAATCTCCTCATCGAGCACTATAAAAAATGTCGTCGTAGCAGTAAATTATCTCTTATAGTTTAGGAGATATTCGCATTTGAATATTAAAATTTTAAAATTTTTACCGTCCTTACTTTAGTTTTTTTGATAATAGCAGGTCCAAATATTTCCGATTTTCGCCATTTTTTTTTATTTGCTTAACAACAAGTTTATATACCAAGCAGTGAAAGAATTATGTAAAAATCATGACTGAGTCCAAAGTTATAGGCATTTAAATTTAAAAAATTAAAAAAAGGCGATTTTTTGTCATTTTTTTGGGAAAAAAGTATCTTTTTCTTTTTAAGTTATCTAAAAAGTTTCTAAGAAGATGTATATAGAATTTATACTTTTTGGAAAGCTGACTTTACATAAAATACGATAAATGAAACAAAACCTAAAAATTTTTGATACCGAGGGGACCAGGTCCATCCAAAAAAACCCTATTTTTTATGGAAAATTAAATTTTGAGCAAAAATTCTCAAATCGCATAGTCGATATCAAATTATAGTGACCTGTTTTATATGACCCAATAAGTTCTTAATCATTTTGTAACGGGTTTCGATAACCCCGCCCCTGGTATGGATATAATAGGCAAAAAACCAAAAAATCCCATTTTTGGGATTTTTTAAAACTTTTTTGGGAATTCCGGGATTTCTAATAAGAAAATTCGAAATTTTGATTTAATTTTGGATTTTAAGTAAAAAAATCTACCTAACTGTAAAATTTCATCAAAAAATATTCATAAATAAAATTTTTATTGCAATTTGAAAAATTTGTATCTTCGCAAAAACTGAATAAAAAACATTTTTAAATTTTTTTTAAAAAAAGTATTCCGCGAATTTTTTAATTTTCAAAAATTATATACAGTTTTGAAAAATAGACAAAATTACCTTTCCATTGATATATAACATGCCTACCTAATGTTTTTTAAGTGACAAATTAATTAAGGAAAACTCAACATCTTTTAGAAAATTTACCTAGCACTATTATTTTCATCCATATATGTAACAAATTTAAGAGTTAACCTTATGGATGAAAATAATAGTGCTAGGCAAATTTTCTAAAAGATGTTGAGTTTTCCCTAATTAATTTGTCACTTAAAAAACATTAGGTAGGCATGTTATATATCAATGGAAAGGTAATTTTGTCTATTTTTCAAAACTGTATATAATTTTTGAAAATTAAAAAATTCGCGGAATACTTTTTTTAAAAAAAATTAAAAAATGTTTTTTATTCAGTTTTTGCGAAGATACAAATTTTTCAAATTGCAATAAAAATTTTATTTATGAATATTTTTTGATGAAATTTTACAGTTAGGTAGATTTTTACTTAAAATCCAAAATTAAATCAAAATTTCGAATTTTCTTATTAGAAATCCCGGAATTCCCAAAAAAGTTTTAAAAAATCCCAAAAATGGGATTTTTTGGTTTTTTGCCTATTATATCCATACCAGGGGCGGGGTTATCGAAACCCGTTACAAAATGATTAAGAACTTATTGGGTCATATAAAACAGATCACTATAATTTGATATCGACTATGCGATTTGAGAATTTTTGCTCAAAATTTAATTTTCCATAAAAAATAGGGTTTTTTTGGATGGACCTGGTCCCCTCGGTATCAAAAATTTTTAGGTTTTGTTTCATTTATCGTATTTTATGTAAAGTCAGCTTTCCAAAAAGTATAAATTCTATATACATCTTCTTAGAAACTTTTTAGATAACTTAAAAAGAAAAAGATACTTTTTTCCCAAAAAAAATGACAAAAAATCGCCTTTTTTAATTTTTTAAATTAAAATGCCTATAACTTTGGACTCAGTCATGATTTTGACATAATTCTTTCACTGCTTGATATATAAACTTGTTGTTAAGCAAATAAAAAAAAATGGCGAAAATCGGAAATATTTGGACCTGCTATTATCAAAAAAACTAAAGTAAGGACGGTAAAAATTTTAAAATTTTAATATTCAAATGCGAATATCTCCTAAACTATAAGAGATAATTTACTGCTACGACGACATTTTTTATAGTGCTCGATGAGGAGATTCTATATACGAAATTTTTTTTAAATCGGAACTCAAATGAAGAAATAGGATCGTTTTAAAAATTTAACATAGCCGAGGTGTCCTAATTTGAGGACCCCCCGCCGGGCCCCTGGTTGGCCTATAAGGTCCAAATTCAAAACCTAAACTCGACAACACCTCCTCTTTGTGCATACCAAATTTCATTAAAATCGGATTAACCGTTTAGAAGTTACCGAATTATTTCCCTCTTTTTTTTTCCTATACCACTGTGCGTAGATGAACTTGAAATTACTTGTAATCCACCAGAAGTAGACATCGACTCCCCTGAATTTGATAGTAAGGAATATAACGATTTAAGGGAAAACATTCGGTTGAACGGAGACGCACTACCAGATCTGTGCTTATCCGAAAATTTCATTTATAAGCGTGTAAAATTTCGAAGTCCTGATGAGCAGGAACAAAATATTTGGCGGTTATGGGTACCGAAAACTTTAACACAAAAACTTATTGAATCCGCTCATGAGGAAGGGTGTCACGGCGGTTACACTAAAACTCTTTTTCGAATAAGGCAAAAATATTATTGGCCGCAGATGGCGCGTGAAGTCAGACAATATATTCGAAACTGCGATGATTGCAAAATCATAAAACCAGTTAATACAACGTTACGTCCTTCTATGGGGAATCAGTTTATCACAGTTCGCCCCTTCCAAAGGATTTATTGTGATTTTTTGTGACCGTACCCTTGCACGAAGTCGAAGAATTGCCATCTACTTATACTCGTAGACCACCTAACAAAGTTCGTGTTTTTGAAACCTTTGAAGTCAGCAACCACAAATAATGTAATTGAGTTTTTCCAAAATGAAATTTTTTGTACTTTTGGCGTGCCACAGTATGTCCACAGTGACAACGGCAAACAGTTTATATCCAAGGACATGAAGGATTTTTTTTCAGCTTATGCAATAACTCACATTACAACAGGGTTCTATTCCCCTCAAGCTAATAGCTCAGAGAGAGTAAACAGAGAGATTGTTTCCAAAATACGTCACTTTCTTAAAAATGAGCCAGACCATACAAGTTGGGACAGAAATATTTCAAAGATTTTGACCATTTTGAGAAGTGACTTCCATTCAGCCATCCAGTGTTCGCCATATTTTGCGCTGTTTGGCCAAAATATGATTTCTCATGGAACATCCTATGCCATTTTAGAAAAATTGAAAATGTTGTCGGATATACGAGACAAGATTCGCGAGAATCTAAATGCTGCTCATGAAAAGGCTTCTAAAACGTACAACACAAGAAGTAAGCCAGTTAATTTTGTTGTGGGACAAGAGGTGTTCCGTAAGAACCATTCGCAAAGTGATTTTAAGAAGGGCATTAATGCCAAATTCAACCCAAAATTCATTAAATGCCGGATCAGAAAGAGAATCGGCAACGCTTTATACGATATTGAAGATCTCCAGGGCAATTACATTGGCAAGTATCACGCTTCAGACATTCGTCCTTAGCTTGGGGAATTTAGTTATAATTCTATTTTTTAAATGTTTTGAGGTGGTTGCCCGGCTTCGTGGGTCGAGCCACACGTTGAGTAATACCTACTAGGACGCGAATTATCGTTCTAATCGTTAACAAATTTTTCCCAAACGAAATCCTGCCTGTTTGTCTTACGATCTTAGATCTAGTATAGAAAATTTTTACTAGTCAAGGTAATGTCGTTAACGTAAAGGTAAAACAGGGCAATTTATTTTATTCACCCTCACCTCTTTGTAGGATTGATAACGTCCCTGACGATAGGAATTTTATTTATTCCTTCGTTATGTTGTTTCTTCTTATTTTACGCATACTCAGTAGTGGTATGATATTCCCGTTAAGTCAGTTGACCAATGACAATTGGACAAGTGTCAATGCGAAGAAAAGGAAAATTACAAGAGGTTTAGTACAGACATGGTAAAGAAGGTCAGTTGGTGATTGGATTCTGAGTGGAAAGGAAACAACCAAGAAAGAAAATATCGGTTTCAATTAAATTAATTAATTAAATTTATTCGATATGTGTTCATTTGCTATCCGAAAGATTTTTTTTTATTTTAATATCGTCATCATCGTCATCAACAATGACCAGTATCACCTTCACGACAACAATCCAGCCACCAAGTCAGTCAATTGGCCACCGACCACTTTCATCACACTATATATCCACCTGCAGTGTCACAACGTTCTTATCATCTCTGCAATTTGAATATTTTTAAGTTTTAACATAAAGTGAAAATGTGCATTGGAGTGTTTTGTTTCTAAAAGTAATTGGTTAAAAGAAAAAAGAACCTTTCGGAAAACTGTAAAAGATTAATGCCAAAATAAAAAAAATAAAAATACAAAAAAAAAAATTTCTCATTATAGAAAAAAAAAGAAGTGTTAACAAAAAACCAAAACAACTTTACGACAACAACTCTACAGCAACAACTCGACTACAACAACTCTACAGCAACAACTCTACTACATCAACTCTGCGACAACAACTCCACGGCAACAACTCTACTACAACAACTTTACTGCAACAATAACCCTGCAACTACGGCAACTCTAGAACCCTAAGATAAGCAACCATGAATAAGTATTAATAAGTATAATAAGTACTAAGTAAATTTAGATTTTAGAGTTCTTCATTTATCTACTTACTTTAATTAAATTTAAAATACAATTTAAGATATATAAAATTAATGTTAATAGTGAATTAAAAGAATTAATTAATTAAAAAGGAAAATGAAAAGAATGAAAATGTCTTGCTAATCTATTTGCTTTAAAAAGGAATGTTAAGTGACCATAGGTAGGGTGTAAGATGTGACCATATCAGAGGCATGAAGTATTTTCTATAGTTGTGCAAATATAGATCTAGAGAAAGAGCCACGCGCGACTGGAGATAGCCGGAAGGAAAACACAGCATGCCTCGCCCCTCTAGATCATTTTACGAAAACACAAAAATACATATACACTATGAAAAAGGAAAATAAAATGGTTTTGCCCATCATTTGGTTGACAGAGAGGCATTTCCAAATTGCCTAAAAATAGTGCTGGCCAATAATCCAATATTACCTAGAATAGAGTCTTTTCCCAAAATATAATCTTTTAAAATTTTTCTGAGATTTTATTTACAAATTTGTAAACAATAAAACTGTTAAAAAAATATGAAAAAAATTTTAATAATCAAAGTTTAATTTTTTTCAACGGCCGTTTCAAATCTCATGGGGATTTATAGGAATAAAACGGTGACAAAATTAGATCAATACTTCTTACAGTTTAGCTGTACTTGCGATTTGAATTCGGCGGATTTCAGGAAAATCGCATTATTTAATATTTTAGAGAATACGTATTAATTCATTACTGTTGTACTTTTAAAACAAAATATTTTCAGAGTATTATAGCCCAAATAATATAAAAATATATTCCAAGCTTTATTCAAATCGGTCATTCTTAACCTAAAAAATGTGGAGTTCAAAGGGAATTTGCCATAACTTTTAAAATTTTCAACCAGTTTTTATGTTTTATATCTTTCTGATTTTTCGATTTCGATTTTTCCCCTTGTAAATGCACCTGGAAACTTCAGAGCCGTTGACATATTTTTACAACCTATAGAACAATTCTAGAGGGGCACGGCCAAAATTCGCAACTTCGTTTTTTCAGTAAAATATGTAAAAAAATGTTTTACTTTTTTATGTCATCAATTTTCATTAAAAAAATCTGGTCGCCTTAAATATACATATAAAAACTTACATTTAGATTTACTTGTAAATACAGTGGTTTCCCGGTTTAACGAAAGATATAATGCCAGGCACATGTGTATAAACGAAAACTTTTTTAAACCCAATAAGAACTTTTCTTTTTGACTTTTTTTCGAGCAGCAATAAGAGTTATTTTTTGGCTATTATTTTTTTTAGCAAAAATAAAAGTTATTTTTTGACTTTTATTTTTTTGAGCAGAAATAAAAGTTATGTTTTGACTTTAATTTTTTCGAGCAGAAATAAAAGTTATTTTTTGAACAGAAAAAAAGTTTTCGCTTTAGAATCGTTTATTTTCCAATATTAAAAAAGTAACTTTTATAACTGCTCGAAAAATATAACTGCTGAGTCAAAAAATAACACTTATTTTGTGACTTTTATGATAAAAGTCATAACAGTTACGCTCCCTGTTTTATGTATTGTTTTGTTAAAAAATAGTATTTTGTTTAAAATTGGTTTAAAATAAGTTTTTATGAACAAAATCTTGTTATATTGTAAATCTTTACAATATAACAACCCTATATTTATAAAGTTTACAATATGAAAATAAGTATAACCATTTATTTTCAGAACAGTATGAACAAAACAAGCACGGCTCGACTTTTTCCAGACAACTTGACAGAACAAATCGAATTATGAAAATAGACGACAGAAAAAGGACATAAATGTTAAAGATGACAGCAAGCAGCGTTGTCAACTTAGTGCTTTTAAAAATTTTCGACGCGAAAAAAACTTCGAGTTACTGTATAGTGCTTTTTTAGTGCTTTTTCATAAACTTTGGTGGCACTAAATTTAACAGTAACTTTATATTTTTGTAGTAAATTATAAAATATTTTAAAAATCGTATTTTTTAAAGTAATTATACCCTACACCACTTTAGTGGGTTTGTGCTGATGTTTGTAACATACAAAAATATTCGTTCTTAAAGTAAGCTATGTCCGTCCGTCCGTCTGGCTGGCTGTCCATGTAAACCTTATGCGCAAGGTACAGGTCGCAATTTTCAAGATAATTGGATGAAATTTGGCACACACTCTTTTCTTTTGGCCCAAGGACGAAGCCTATTGAAAATGGTTGAAATCCGTCTATTATTTCACCTAGCCCCCATACAACAGAACCCCCCGAAAAGGGCTTCTGAGCTCATAATTATGTTAAAACAAGTAAGAAAGTATAGTCGGGCGTGACCGACCATATGATACCCTACACCAGTTATAAATATTAAATGTAACTTATTTTTCATAATAAAACATTTATCTTCTATTACCTTGTTCCGATACATTTAAGCAATTTATGGATGAAAAACTATTTCTATTTCTGAAATAGGCTTTATACGGGGCTAGGGGCAAATATGAACCAACCCTGATAAAATTTTGTGAATATATTTATATTTCCATAATATTTTATTGTTACATCGCGATATTTGTGTTTATAAGTTAATTTTGGACATTCACGTAATTGTTCCGATACATTTAAGTAATTTATGGATGAAAAACTAATTTTATGAAAGAGGCTTTATATGGGGGCTAGGAGCCCGAACATCAGCACAAACCCAATATACCCTCCCCACTAAAGTGGTGTAGGGTATAAATACCTGTATATTGATAAAAAGCGGCACAACTAAGTTTTATAGAAGCCTTGACGACCTTGCCAAATTTCATAGAGATCGGGACTCATTTAACCCTAGCTCCCATACAAAGTCCCCTTGAGAAAATTACTTGATTGTCCAAAATTAACTTATAAACACAAATATCGCGATGAAATTCAGCACAATAAAATATTATGTAAATATGAATATATTCACAAAATTTTATCGGGCTTGGTCCATATTTGCCCCTAGCTCCCATATAAAGTCTGTTTCAGAAAATTAGTTTTTCATCCATAAATTGCTTAAATGTATCGGAACAATTACTTGAATGTCCAAAATTAACTTATAAACACAAATATCGCGATGAAATTCAGCACAATAAAATATTATGTACATATAAATATATTCACAAAATTTTATCAGGCTTGGTCCATATTTGCAACATTGTTTTTGGCTTATTAACTTATACATATGAATACATAGTAACGGGCTACCAATACGATGTTGCAACTTTTTGGAACAGAATTTGTATTTCGTTAATAGGGAGGAAAAAGTACCAAAAGGGGTAAAAACGGGAAATTTGATTTTATTCAAACACAATGATCCAATTTATATAAAATTTTTAATCTAGAAACACTAAATATGCTAATGAGAGGTTATTTGGAACACCAGTACCAAGTGATATTTTTTGGTACTTTGTCATTCTCCAACTGGTACTTTTTGAGTTTTCTATGATATTGAAACATGAAATTAATAATAAAGGGACTTTTCGGTACTTTTCCGTTCTACAAAGGTACTTTTTTGAGTTTTCTTTAAAATTAAACCTATAAGCTAGGTACTCTGTTCAAAATTTCATGCGAAATGCTGTCAAACTACATATAAAATATATGAAATATTTGCGAAATAATTTCGCAAAAGCAGTACTCGGTTCTTATTGTGAAAAACTTTGTGAAATTTATCTGGCAACCTTGTTTTCCAACTTACGCAGCACTTCTTTCGCACGAAATTAAAACAAACAGCCGATTACATTTTATTGTTTTTCCCAAAATTATCATTTCTCGAGCCGAAATAAATTTACTGCACAAGCGGTCAATAATATATTTTCATTCTTTTTAAATAAAAAACAAGAAAGAGTGTTATATTCGGCTATGCCGAA